TGGTATGGATGTGGTAAAAAGGGAATGCTTATGCACTGTTGTGTAAATTAGTACCTCTATGGAAATCATTATGGAATATTTCTCAAAGAACTAAAAGTAGATCTATAGTTCTGCATAAAGGATAAGGAATATAATTTTTTTAAACACCAGATTTACCATTTGATCTGGCAATCCCACTACTAGGTATCTACCCAAAGGAATGGAGGTCATTATATTAAAAAGATAGCTGCATTTGCATGTTCATCACAGCACAATTCACAATTGCAAAGATGTGGAAATAACCCAAATGCCCATCAACTGATCAGTGGATAATGAAAATATGGTACACATACACTGTGGAATATAAAAGAAAAAAAAAAGAAAGATAGAAAGAATGTCTTTTGCAGCACCTTGAATGGAATTAGAGAACATTAACCTAAGTGAACTACTAACACAGGAACAGAAAACCAAACACTGCATGTTCTTCCTTGTAAGTGGGAGCTAAAATAAGGATCTGCAGAGGCATAGAGAATGGTATAATGGACACTGGAGAACCGCAAGTGGGAGGAGGGCAATGGGTGGAGGGACAAAAAAATCATCTATTGAGTACATCGTGCACAGGTGGGAGTAGTGTGTACACCTAAAATTACTATACAGTGCAACCATGTAACCAAAAACTATTTGTATCTCCCAAAGCTATGTAAATACAAAGCAATTGAAGCTTATTTAAAAATGTGAGATACCACTACACACTTACTAGAATGGCTAAAATAAATAAAAGAAAACTGACAAAGTGCTGACAAGGATGTGGAGCAAAAAGGACTCTCCACTACTAGTACAGTGTACAACTAGAAACAACACTTCCTGTGGGAATGCAAAATGGTAGAGTATAGCCATTATGGGAAGCAGTTTGGCAGTTTCTTATAAAGGTAAACATACACTTACCATACAACCCAACTATCTGACTCTGAGGTATCTACCTAAGTGAAATGAAAACTTATGTTCACATCAAAATATGTACATAAATATGTACAGAGACTTTTCATATATTCGCCAAACACTAGAAACTTCTCAAAAGCACTTTAAACTGGTGAATGGATAAGCAAACTAGACATCCATACAATGGAATACTACACAGCAAATCACACAACAACCTGGATCAATCTCACATGCATTATGCTAAATGCAAGAAGCTAGACTCAGAAGCCTATATATTATATAATTCTATTCACATCACATTCTTTATATGACATAGGTATAGGGACAGAAAATAGGTTAGTGGTTGCAAAATGCTGGAGATGGGTAAAGGGGTTGGCTACAAAGAGGTACAAGAGATCTCTTTTGGGATGATGGAATTAGTCTATATCTTGATCGTAGTAGCTGTTTCACAATTGTATAAATTTGTAAAACTTACAAAACTGTACACTTAAAAGGAAGAATTTGCTATATGTAAATATATCTCAAAAATTATAATAGGATCTGTTTAAGATTTTTAGAAAGAAAACATACAAAGTTGAATAAAAATTTATGAGTGAAATACAATTAAAATTATAAACATATACAAATGCAAATAAAGATTATTTTTTAATTATCAGGAAATTTATAGGTCTTTATTACTTTTTATCAGTTACTAGTACTCTATTTTGTTCATTTGGTGGTATCATGTTTCCCTGGTTATTCATGATCTTTGTGGCCTGCCGTTGGTATCTGCTCTATGAGTCTCTATGGACTGACTTTAGCAGGGAAAGTCCTCACCAATTGGCCTGTCCAGAGATTCAGGGAGGGCCTACTGCTAGAATCCTCAGGCAGGCTGGCCTGGTGCCTATGCCAGTTTGATGGCCAGGCTTGACACTTAAGGCTGCAGATGCTGGTCTTGTGTTGGTATTCACTGGGGTGGGTATGAAGGCTGGGTCCACAGGAGCAAGCCTGGATCTTGATCCGTGGGGTCCACAATGGAGTCGGGTGCTCATTTTTTATTCTTTCTACCCCACATGGATGGTATCTCTCCCTACACTGCACTGCTGGGCTTAGGATACTATCTTTCCCACTCTCTTCAATGTGTCTTCTATTTCTGTGCTTCACGCGGGTGCTATAGTCTCTCCCTTGGATTCCATGTTCTTGTGAAGATATTTTCATATGTACTTGTACAGATTGATATTTCTGCAGAGAGATGAGCATGGGAAACTCTTGTTCTGCCATCTTGCTGATGTCACTTCCATAATTTTTTTCATGAATATCTTGTTTTGAATTTTTGACATCAGCTTTTGTAATAAACTATTGGTACATTTATTTATCTACAAAGTGCTATATTTGCTGGATTTACCATTGTTACATAGTTTCCCTAAGTTTTCCACTTTTATTTGTATTGCAGAATAATTAAAATATCATAGGAGTTACCCATAACAGAAAATTAAAAAGAATTTATCCACAAATCCTTTAGGCCTGACATTTGTTTTTGAGGGTTCTTTTCTAAAATTAATCCCTTGTTTGTTAGTGAGACTGAGTTTTCTATGCTCTCTTGAGTCAGTATGGGCAATCTGAAGTTTTTCAGTCAGATTTTCAAATGTATTAACTTAGGGTTATAGTTTTTAACTTGCTACTTTTTCACACATGTGCATATTTCTTTTATTCTGTCCCCTTCTTGATTAGATTAACTGAGATCTGATTTAATGATTTGTTTTAAAAAAAATTCTTAGTAGTATTTATCAATTTGATTGTTTTCTTTCTATTAATTTCTGCTTTTTCCTCTTCCCCCCTTAAGTTTAGCTTAACTATTTTATACCTTATTGTTCTTATTTCCTAGTTAATTTTTAATACTTTTTCTTATTTGATTAAAATAGTGTAATTATAAATTTTCTCCTGAACATAATTTCGACCACATCCAGAAGACTTTGGTATTAGCATATTCATTATCAACATTTTTTGGTAGTTTTTATTTCTTTACTAAGTCTGCATTAGTAGTTTTTTTTTCTTTACTAAGTCAAAAATCATTAGGTGAGAGTTATAAAAATTATGGTGTTTTAATCAATAAATTTAATTTGATTTATTTCCATTGTGAGAATATTTTGAGTTTCTTTTTTAGTCTTAATATATGTTAAATTGTACAGTGCCCTATAGCTTGAAAAGAAGGCATATGCTCTGTAGCGTATAAAGTTTAACATTTGTCTGTTTGATGAAGATAATATATTGAGGGAGGGTTCCTGATATGAGATACAATAGTTAGAAAAGGCCTAACCTTGAGGGAACAATAAGAGCAAAAGCCTTGATAAATTGTCTTTGCTTTATCTAATTAAAAGATGTAATCTCAGGCCTAGTTCTATATTTAGCCTATTCTGTATTTTGGCTTCAGTAATTTTAACTTAGAGCACAACTTTTGGTATAGTTGTATAAAACAGTACTAATTTCATCACATTTGACTACAAAGCATCATAATCAAAACCTATATCAAAAATGTTAGATTACTATTGTAATGCAGAACCAAAATTCTCATAAACTGCTCTTGGATCCCTGGCAATATGGCTATGTTTCTCCATAAGTCCCTATTTGAGAGCTACTACTGTTACAGATTAGGCTTTATTTTCTTCTAAAAAAGAGGAAGAGTAATGAATGATTGTCATTCTATTTATTTTTTTCTTGTTTGAATAGAGGCTTTATCAGTAGTACAGGGTAAGGACATTTGGTCTTTCTCTTGGCTGCTTATGGTCCCTGTCTTAACTTAGATTACTTGGGCTGCTATAGCAAGAGACCAAAGACTAAGTACGTTATAAACAACAGTTCTAAAGGCTACTGTTAACACTACTAGCAGTGGTACTGACCACTCTATAAGGAATATACGTGGGTTGTCCCATCATCTTCTTTATTTTGGTTTAAGATTGTACTTATACAGAAGATCCTCATCCTCAGATAACATTTTTTTTTTCATTCTGTTATAACATTGAAGAGGGAAAAAAAATCTATTCCCATCTGAGGCCACTATCTGTGTGGAGTTTGCACATTCTCCCATGTCTGCATGGGTTTTTCTCCATGTACTCTGGTTTCCTCCCATATCTCGAAGATGTGTGCATTAAGTTAATTGGTATATGTAAATTGTCCCAGTCTGAGTGGGTATGGACATGTGTGTATGGACATGTGATGGAATGGAATCCTGTCCAGGGTTGATTTCTGTCCTGCACCCTAAGCTGCTGGAATAGCCTCTGGCCACCTGTGACCCTGAACTGAGATAAGCAGGTTAAAAAATGAATGAATGAATAAATGAAAAAAACTTATTACGAAACAAAAATGTATCAAGTATACAATAATTACACAAGTGCACGGCAATAAATGATGCGGTATAAAAGCACTCAGCAAGCTCATCATATTTCTTATTGTTTGTTTTCAAACTACATTGTGGTAGGAGATGCTCCTTACAATTTTTGCTTTGCAAACATTTATTCCTTGATTTAACCCATCCCCACTACATCACTCATTGATTCACCAAAAATTGGGTTAATAATTATCTTACTTGTTTTTATTTGTCTTTTAAAAATGTATATCTAGCTCACATTTATTCCAGTGTTTAATATCAGAACTGTTTTAGGTCTTTATTTAGAAGTTTGGTGATGTTTTTCTGACCAGAGATATTTCATAGGAACTTAACTCTTGTGTGTATTAATTAGCCTATGGTAAGGTTGGTTTCATTATACATTGTTTGCTTGTAGCTGCAGTTTCAAGAACCTATCAATGATGTTAAGACTTAACATTTGGATATTGCTTTTTCAGGTGTATTGTATAAGGTTAGAACACTCACATGTTTTCAGCATTGGTGGTATTGTCTTTGCAGTTTCTAACTATTTGTTTTCTTTGCTTTGCATTTGAGGAATGGACCTCCAGTAAGCCTGTACCTATGCAGCTGTTTTCCTAAAAGTTTACTTTTATCATTTTTATTGCTTGTTTAAGAATAAGTCGTGTCCTCTAAGTCACCTGTTAGAACAACTTGATTTTATACTTAAAACTGACAATTATTTTTAAAAATGACTTTACAGGTTGGAATTCGAGGTACCAATATAGTTGTGCTTGGGGTAGAAAAAAAATCTGTTGCCAAGCTTCAAGATGAAAGAACTGTGAGGAAAATCTGTGCCCTTGATGATCATGTCTGCATGGCTTTTGCAGGTACTTAATAGACCTACAGTGATGATGCATGATATCTTAATGTAATAGGACAACTCAATCAGCTTCAAGTTTTAGGGTTCCCATAGCCCCCTCTTTGGGTTCAATTAATTTGCTGAAGTGGTTTACAAAACTCAGTAGAACACTTACATTTACCAATTTATAAGAGATATTACAAAGAATATAGATAAAGAGGTGTGTAGGGCAAGGTATGGGGGAAATGATGCAGAACTTTCATGTCCTCCCTGGGCATTCTGTCCTCCAGAAACCTCCAGGTGTTCAGCTGACAGCTTTCTTAGCCCATTCCTCTTGGATTTTTTATTATGTTTTTTTTTTGAGTTGGAGTCTCACTCTGTTACCCAGGCTGGAATGCAGTGGCATGCTAACGGCCACCCCAGCGTTGACCTGCTGGGCTCAGGCGATCCTTCTGCCTCAGCCTTCCAAGTAGCTGGAACTACAGGCACGCACTACCACACCCAGCTAATTTTTTGATATATTGTAGAGACGAGGTGTTACCAAGTTGCCCAGGCTGGTCTTGAACCCCTGGGCTTGGGCAGTCCTCTCACCTTGGCCCCCCAAAGTGTTGGGATTACAGGCTTGAGCTACCATGCCCAGCCTTCTCTTGGATTTTTGTAGATTTATGGCATCAGCATTCCTTCTTCCAAGGTGTGGGTGGAATCCTTTCTGGAATGAAGGTCTATGATTCACAGTCAGAAAGATAGAGAAGATTAGAGTCTTGCCTTGGGGTTAGGTGAAAGGAGGGTAGAAGAAGTTTAGAGAGAATCTATTTCCTGAGGTCTGCTCCAAAAGCCTAACATACTGAATGCTACAATAAGGCTTCGGGATTTAGGAGCCATGAACGATGGATGAAAACCAAAATATTATTATATATATACATATAAATATATATAAAATAATACTTGAAATATGAAATATATTTTATATATATAAAATGAAATATATATAGTGAAACTATGGCTGTATATTAAAATATATATATAATATATTTAATATATATATAATAACACCAGAGATGTGTAGTGATATCTAATTGTGGGTTATATTTATATTTCCCTCATGGATAAAGATATTGAACACATTTTCATGTGCTTATTTGCCTCTCTACAGTGAATAAGACATTTCTTGTCATATTTTGCTCATTTTCTAATTGTGTTTTTTAAACTCGAATTATATATTGAAGTTTAAAATTTTTATTCAAGCCAGATATGATGACAGTCACCTGTAATTCCAGCTATTCAGAAGGCTAAGGCAGGATAATCACTTGAGCTCAGGAGTTTGAGACCAGCCTGGGTAGCATAGCAAGACCCTGTCTCTAAAAAAAAAAAATCTAATTTAGAATATAGATAAAGAGGTGTGTAGGGCAAGGTATGGGGGAAATGATGCAGAGCTTTCATGTCCTCCCTGGGCATTCTATCCTCCAGAAACCTCCAGGTGTTCAGCTGACAGCTTTCTTAACCTGGGCAACATGGTGAGATCTTGGCTCTGCAATAAATCAAAAAATTAGCTGGGCATGGTAGCACACACCTGTAGTTCTAGCTACTTGGAAAGCTAAGGCGGAAGGATTGCCACAGCCTAGTAGATCAACGCTGACGTGGCCATTAGCATGCTACTGCACTGCAGCCTGGGCAATAGACTTCAACTCAAAAAAAACAAAAACAAAAACAAAAACAGTAACCTTTATTCTACTGTCAAAAAAGGAAATATCTTGCCACAAAATAAGTCTTAATACATTTTAAAAGATAAAATTATACAAAGCGTGTTTTCTGATGAAAACTTGAATGGAGCTAGAAATCAACAGCAGAAGAAAAACTTTAAAAATCTACAAACGTGGAAATTAAACAGTATTCTCCTAAATCACCCATGGGCCAATGGAAAAAAATCACAAGGAAAACTAGAATATATCTTGAGAGAAATGAAAATAAAAACACAGCTTATCAAAACCTGGGGGATGTATTGAAAGTAATGCTAAGAGAAAAAATTATAGCTGTAAATATTTCCATTAAGAAAGAAAGATCTCAATTCAAAACCTGACTTTATACGTTAAAACTACAAAATGAAGAATAAACTAACTTTAGCAGAAAGAAGTAGTAAAGATCAGAGCATAGATAAATAGGAGAATAAAAACATGTTAGAAAAAATTAAAAACTAAGAGTTGATTCTCTGAAAAGATCAACAAAATTGACAGACATTTAACAAGATTGACTAGAAAAAAAAGACTCAAAATGAGAAATGAAAAAGGGGACATTAGTGCCAGTTTTCCAGAAATAAAAAGAATTTTAAAAGAGTACTATGAAAAATTGTACACCAACAAAATTATTTGAAATACAAATTATTCAATAAGATATAGAAAATATAAATAGACACAAGACATTGAATCAGTTATCAAAAACCACCCAATCAAGAAAACTCCAGGACTTGATGGCCTTCCTTGTGAATTCTACCAAACGTTACAAAGAAGAATTAATAACAGTCCTTCTCAAACTCTTCCAAAAAAATTGAGGAGGAACACTTCTAAACTTATACTGTGAGACCAAAATTATAATGATGCCAAAACCAGACAGAGACACTACAAGAAAACTATAGACCAATATCTCAAACCAGAGGCAGAATTTTATTTTTTTATTATTTATTTTTTTGAGTTGGAATCTCACTCTGTCACCCAAACTGGAGTGCAGTGGCCGCTCCCGGCCACCACAGCCTCGACCTGCTGGGCTCCAGTGAGCCTTCTGCCTCAGCCTTCCAAGTAGCTGGAACTACAGGTACGTGTTACCATGCCCGGCTGATTTTTTGATTTATTGTAGAGATGAGGTCTCGCCTGCCCAGGCGGGTCTTGAACCCATGGGCTCAGGAAATCCACTCACCTCAGGCTCCCAAAGGTGCAGGATTACAGGCTGAGCCACCGAGCCTGGCTAGAGACAGAATTTTAAAAGGATCGGACATTATGACCAAGTGGGATTTACTCCTGGAGTGCAAGGATGGTTCAAGCCAATATATACCATATTAACAGACTGAAAGAAAAAAAAAACTGCATGATTATATCAGTTGATACAGAAAAATACATTTGACATTTAACCCTTTCTTGGTAATGATACCCAACAAACTAGAAATAGAAGAAAATTGACTCAATATGTCACATATTCAATTGACACATATGAAAAACTCATTGCTCACTTCATGCTCAGTGGTTAAAGACTGGAAGCTTTTCCTCTAAAATTAGGAACAAGATAAGGTTGTCCACTTTTACCACTGCTATTCAAAGTATTAATGAATAAATAAATAAGAATAAAAGGCATCCAAACTGAGAAGGATTATCTCTATTCACAGATGGCATGATCTTATATAGACAAAGTTAAAGATACCACAAAAAAGGTTAGAAATAATTTTTTTATCACACTTCCAGACTTCAAACTTTACTATAAGGCTACAGTAATCAAAACAGCCTGGT